GGCGCGTGAAGTGGATATGCGGTTGCGGCAGTCGAGATAGATCGTATCGTGCGCGCGTTAATTACGCTCGCCGACCGAAGCGACATTACCGTATCTCCAGGCGAAGCAAATCGGCTCGCCCAGATTCGTTCGCCGCTCAGGTGATGTGGCAGTCTTGAAGAGACCGCCCATTATTGACAGCTAAATTACCATAACCGGTGTACATGGTTTGAGACCGTTGGGTTTCTGCCCAACCATGGAGACCGGTCCCACCTGTCACCAGGCTTTAGGAGTGGCGTCACGCCCGGCCGCTTCCCATAAGAAGGGCGATCGCCCTGGCATAACGCCGGGGGCTACTGTCGGTGACATGGGACCGGGAGTATCATGACTAGAGGCTTGAGGCAGACGCCATCGCCCACGTGGCCTGGCACCCTCGGGGGACGTCGGGCCCGAGGGTGATGTGTGCGCCCACCTCTTGGTCTCCCCGAGGGGGGGGGTCGGACCACTCCTGCCTCGCCCCCGAGGGCCGAGGCGCCCCGACCCCTCGCGTTTCTACTCCACGTGTATGGGTTAGGTGAGCACAGCGGGGCTCACCTAACCGCATTTATTGCGCCTCGGTTAAGCGTGTCACGCCGCACGAAGTGCAGTGCAGTGCACTCGATTATCCGGTCTGTGACCAGTCACAGACCGGTCAAATCGCGGGTTAGGTGGCGACAGGCGGTCTGACGCCCGCTTCGCCCCATCCCGTCAAGACGAGAGCTTCTAGGCACTCGTCCCCGGCTGGAACTAGCGTGTTACATCCCAGAGATGACACGTTAGCCCCGATCGATATATGCCAGGCTTCATCCTAACCATTACAAGCAAGATGTTGTTTGAAGAAGGGCAAACATGCACGTTGCTAAGCCGACGCGTGGTGGACAAGAATGACCGATTTGTGACCGGTCTGACACTGCTCATGTCGTCAGCACACAGCCACCTTCCCACGACGTGCCCGCCTCAGGCAGAAGTGGAGGTAGGTGTGTGCCGTCCCGTCAGGAGGATGTTCGGAGGACGACCGTGCAAATCTCCGTCCATTTATGAAGAGAAGAAAAGTCCAGTTTGGAAAGGGAGGGGTGCATGTGGTATCCCCTTGAAGTATAAAAGGAGGACCTGGCCCATAGAGAAAGGGGATGATCTTTTCCAGATTCAGAACCTAGAACGAGGGAGAGGTTGGCTCACACTTTGTAGCTCCTTCATACGCAGATCCACCAAAACACAGGAGTAGGGTATTACGCTTCTCAGCGGCCTGAACCTGTATACATCGCTTGTGTTTCATGCTCTTTTGAGAGGCCGCGATCTTCCCACATACACGGAGAGCTTGAGATCTCACCCTGAGCCCCCGGCCGAACCGGCAAAGGGGGGCCTGTGCGGTCTCCCGGTGAGGAGCACCGCGCTCCGTCAAAGGGCTTGGATAAGATGCACTCCGATCTTCACAAGGCATCCAAGGCTCTCAACGACAATAAGCTTGCGAAGATAGCCAGCTTGCAGGATGAGGTGGCTCGCCTCAAGAAGAAGAACGCCATTCTGCGGAAGCGTCTAGCACCAGGTGGGCTCAGGATCCGCAGCATGCCTAGGAAGTCTACCACAACACCCATGTGCATCCAGTTGGTGCACAGGAACCCGTCTCCACCACCTCCAGCTCTAGAGCCGCTTCCCCGCTTTGTGCCACCCTCACCTCCAACTCCACCTCTACCTTCACCAACGCCAGCTCCAGCTCCCTCTCCAACTCCAGCACTAACCTTCGCTCCAGTGTCAGCTTCAGTGTCTAATGGTAGCGGTGGTTGGCTGTTCGCCACGTCCAGCAATAGCAGCGGTAGCTCTAGCTTCGAGCCTGACAGTTATGACACCTACTTGAGTGACTCCAGGAGCTGTTCTGAGCATTAGGGCCGCCACCTTTACTTTTTACCGCTTTGCTTAGTTTGTTTCCTTGTTAGTTTCCGTGTTTAGGCTTGTCGCTTGTGGGCTAGTTGGCATTCTATATCATGTGTTGGTATGGCTGCCTTAATAAGGATGTTGCTTGTTTTTTCAGTTGTTTTAATTTAGATCAGAACAATTGCACTTTAATTATAATAAAATAAAGCTTAGTTTCTGAGCAGTTTGTTTTCCTTGTTTTCCATCCTTTTTTGCCTATCCCCTACAAATGGTGAACACAAAGACAGAAACTTCATCCGCCTCGCGCTCTACGCCCTGCAGAACGTGCACAGCAATGCCGAGAGGCAGGAGAAGTTTCTATCTGGACTTGATGATGAACCGACCAACCAGCTGATCTTTGGAGATTAGGCTAATTTTGAGAAGCTAGTTGACAAGGTGATCCATCAGGAAGATCAACGCAATAAGATGGACCGCAAAAGGAAAGTAGCTTAGTTCAGGGCACACCAGGGGAACAGCAGCAGCAGGGTGGACCTTCCACCATGATTGTCCGTCAGCACCGTCCTTACTACTCAGGCAATTTCCACGCCGGTAGTAGTGGCAGCCACAACAACAGTGCTAGGCAACACAACCGCAGCTTAGCTCCATGCCCGCTAATGGCTCCAGCTTAGCCAGCACAGCCAGCTCAGCCCAAGAAAGAGTTTGGAAGAAAGACAGGGGTCTGTTTCAACTAGCGAGCCCGATCACTTCGCTCAATATAAAACCGGGTTTTTAATTAACCGACACCTATAATATAGTAAATATGTTGTTTTTTTTTCAAAAAGGTACCTATAGTATAGGTATCTATTTTCCTCGAGAAACAACACATACAATCATTTAAAGGTGTTGATTTTTTTTTCAACATGTGAAGGTGGGAAAAATAATATAGGTGCCGGTTTTAACTATTCCGACACCTATAACACCAATCTATATGTGCTTTTTTTATAGTGATCCCATCGACGATGGCGAGTTGTGGTGGGAGGTGGGGGAGGAGCGGGATGCGTGTGTGTGGTGCTGCAGCAGGAGCTGAAGGAGTGCATGACTGCTTTGTGGAATCTAAAGCTTCCCAAACAAATCTCTTTACTCTTTGGGAAAATATTGAGTGCAGATTCTAAGTACATCCTTTATGTTTAAGAAATGTTTTTTTAATCGAGCACACAGTTATGGACCTTTCCGGCATAGTTTTAGTTGTCACTAACCATTAAAAAAGGGTCATTCTTTTTAAAAGAGTTGGTGCATGCGTTTATACTAAGAAAACACATAAGGTAGGGCCATGAGAGCCTGGAGGAAATAAAGTTACACACGGTAAGGAATTTGCAAAGTATGATGGTTTTTGAACGGGACGGCAGAATTTGAAGAAACACAAGAGGGATAAGGAAACAACGCAACAGATACAGCCATGAAGAACAAAACACAGCAATTTGGAGTGGAGTTGCTCCAGGGCAGACAAGCTTGCAAGGAAGAATTCACGTTCACACATCTTTGTTTATCCTTGGAAATTTTGGTGTATCTGAGAAACATAGCATTTCTATCTTTTTAGATTTATCTTTTGTGATGGGAACATGTATGGAGTATAGTACTGAAATAGAAAGGGCTGTTTTGGCTTTCTACCCTACCAATTCTTTTGCTAGAGTTATGTTGTCCATGTTTCCTTTGTTACTAATGGGAAGCCAAGCTTTATATTACAATGAAGAGATTGTAATTAATGAAGAATGAGGGATTACCAACTATTTTGATTCAAACCAAACCATCGAATTTACTATTTAAGCTAGCAGAGAATTAGTAGGACATTGGCACGAATTCAAAACATTGTGTGATACTGTCTTGTATACCTCTTCGATAGCATAACCATGAAGAACTTAAGTACGTAATTGGATTTAGAAGTAGCGAAATTGTTCAGAGGAAGAGAATTGAACGGTTCATTGAGAAAGTACTAAGGTACTATATTTTCAACGTAAAACAAAAAATGATGATCCATCCGTTTAACTTTTTTATATAAGTAACTTAATTAAGTTTGGTTAAATTTATAGAAAATATTAGTAACATCTACAACACAAAATCAGTTTATTTAAATTTAATATTGAATATATTTTGATAGTATGGTTATTTTGTGTTGAAAATATTGTTATATTCCTTTAAGAACTTGATAAATTTGATAAGAAGAAAAATCAAACCGTTTTACAATATGAAATGAAAATATTATGCTATATGTAGTACTCCCTCCATTCACAAATGGTCATCATATAACTTTTTCAATGTTATTAAAAAATGATTAGCATATTTGATACTCCTATATATGACTTTTCGTTTTTAGGTGCGTTATTAAATGGTCATTTGCATTCATTGTTCAATGTACTATTCAACTACTTGTAATTTGTGGTGCGTGCATGCATATAAACAAGATCATTGGTGCCAATTGCCCTTGATGCTTACTCCCTAGATCATTGGTGCCAATTGCCCTTGATGCTTACTCCCTCTGTCTCGAGAAGAATAATGTGACCCCTCCTAAATTGATGTATGTGGACACCCCTATATCCACATACATTATCCTAGGAGGAGTCACATCTCCTTCTAGGTTGATTTATTTTAGGACAGAGGAAGTATGCAAGAAATAAGAAACGGTGTTGCATGTTAATCAATGTAAATTTAAGTGGCATGTGAGAGTATATTGATATCAACCATAAAGCCATAAACCATATATGCCGATCATTTATAAATGGAGGGAGTACTACTTTAGATATAGCGAGGTGTCCGTGTTGCCTTGTTAATCTCAAAATATATCAGTCTTTTGAAGATGCTTGTGTGTTTACATGAGTGAGTGTGCGTTAACTGTGAGCGTGTGTTGTACCGTGTTTAAAATTTTTTTAAAAAAAAGGAAAAGAAAAGAAAAGAAAAGCTTTGAGAAAGATAAAATAACTACGGTCGGAGCAGAAAATAGCCGTGCCCCCTAGCGTGTACAACCTGCCAAACTGCCAATCCCCGTCGTCTCGTCTTCCCTCCGCACAAGACAATCCCCCAACCGAACACCCACGCCAGCCGCCGCGCGCTGCCGCCCCATCCGCAATCCACCACCCCGAACACCACCAAATTTCCACCGATCCCCCCACCCCGACCCCATTCCCCCACGCCGCCGCCGCCCGCAACGAAAACGAGACCAAATTCCCCTCACGCCTCCTCCTCCTCCTCCTCGGTTATGCGGTGATGGCGCGGTGCCCCGGCGCGGCGGGCGTGGCGGAGCGGTGGACGGCGCGGGCGCTGGCGGGCGCCGTCCTCGACGTCGCGCTCGTCTGGGCCTGCCTCTGGGTCGCGGCGCCGCCTCCGCCGCGGCCAGCGCCCTCGCCCTCCTCGGCGTACCCCTCCCCTGCACCTGCGCCCGCCCCCACCTCCCCTGCCTCCTCGCCTTCCTCTCCCGCTACCCCTCCCGCGCCCTCGCCTCCCTCGCCTCCGCCCTCCTCTCCCGCTTCCCCTTCGCCTCCTCCTGTTCCCCCTCCCCCTCCTCCGACGACGACCACGGCGTCGAACACGAGGAATCGGGCCGCGTCGATGGGGTGGAGGAGGTGGACGAGCACCCGGCCGACGACGGCGAGGTGAGGCGGGAGGCGGTGGTGGTGGAGGAGGAGCGGGACGCGCGCGCCGCGCTGCAGCGGGAGCTGGAGAAGGAGCGGAGCGCCGCGGCGTCGGCGGCCGAGGAGGCGATGGCCATGATCCTGCGCCTGCAGAAGGAGAAGTCGGCGCTCGAGATCGAGGCGCGCCAGCAGCGCCGCACCGCCGACGAGCGCTGCGCCTTCTACGAGGACGAGGTGGAGGAGCTCCGGGACATCGTGCTCGTGCGGGAGCGCGAGTCCCGCGCGCTGCAGAAGGAGGTGGACGCCTACCGCCGCCTCCTCGGCCTCGCCGCCGAGGACGGCGACGACGACGACGATGAGGATGATATGATGACGCCTCCTAGCACCATGGTGGAGGGCGAGCCAAGCACGTCCAGATCTGTGTATAAGGATAGTAGAAATGGCGCGATGCCGCAATTGGGGAATGACTATGGGTTCAGCTTGAAGACGCCGTTTTCGCCCCAAGAACTACTGTCACCTATTAAAGTGGGTCATATCAAAGGGATCAATGAGGATAAGCTGTCTGCTGGGCCATCTGAGAAAATTCCCATGGTTGGATTGAAACCAGAGGTTGATAGCTCCAAGGATGATCGCGTGGAGACGATTGAAATCCTTCCACTATCTGCTCGAAGCTTAGATCAGGTTGGTTATGGTGAAGTTGTTGCTGCAGTTGATACAAAAGCTCCAGAGCAACTGCCTCATGAGTTTCAGGAGGAGTGTGGAGGTGTAGACAAGATTGGTGGTGATTCTACGGGAAGTGAGAATGATGCGAATATCTATGATGTGCATGTGGTTGATGATATATGCTTCCCAACTGAAGGTATGAGATTGTGGATAAATAAATCTCAATTGGTTGATTCTTATATCAAGTATATGGCTTGTGGAATCGTAAACCTGTTAAATTCATTTTTGGGATGTCTTCACTCTTCATAGATGGCATGCAGTATTTACGAATTACTATTGGTACATGATAGGTTTATTTAAACCTTTCTTTGCTTAGTTTGGATAAATGTTTCCTGTTATTTGATGAGAAATTCGGTACTTTATTTACCATGCCACCTGGTCACTAGCACTGAAACCAGTCCTTTGTATACAGTTAAAGGCCTGATTTGCCGAAGTTTCTCAGATGCAACAATGCAAGCAGAGAAGTTACAAAACAGAGTTGCTGCAGATGATCTCCTTGGGAAAAGTCTGAATGCCATTAAAGGTGCACAAGACAAGATAAAGCATGCAGCAAGTGAAAGAAAGCAATCATTACAGCTGCAACTCTTAGAGGACATAGCTAACCAACTTCAGGAAATCAAGGTTGCTGCAGAAGCAGGGCGACAGCTGCATTGTGCTTCCCCTAGAAATTTGAAGAAAAGCTAGGTCAGTGCTAATTATAGTTTTCCTGTTACGTACTTCGATTTTTTTTCCTCTTTTGTAACAGATGTATCTTACTTCAGATTTAAAATGACATATTGCCAAAGAAGCACAGGATCATGGGGCCTACATTATAAGTCCCCCCAGCTTAACTCTTAGGAGGTTTAAAAACTATAAATTTGCACATTAATCAGAAAATAAAATATATGGAAATTCCCATGTTAATCAATGAAAAGGAAAACATCGTGAGCATCCAATCTACCTAAAAGATGTAACAAATAGCTTGGATTGTTTAAAAGGAAAATCTTCATGCTTTGATTTTGTGGAACATGCATTCTATCAAAGGCTAATCCGAGCAAGGAATTAATGTGAGTGGAATGTGTAATCACATTTCATATCTTGGTGAGCCCAACACAAACATAACTCACTCATGCATGGACGTATGCATTCATGTCTGGGATAAGAGAGTAATTAGTATAGTCCCTTGCATGTAGTGTTTGGTAAGATAATATTGGTGTGTTGCAAATAGTAGTAACCCATCACTCATGCATGCTTGCTCATTTCCACATTAGATCTTAATTTGGTGGACAATGAATTAAGAGACATGCATGCCTTCCATCTTCCAATAAATAAATGATGTCTGAAAATTAATGATAAAATTGGAGAATGAAATTTAACCACATAAACAACTGCTGGAACAAATTGCCTTGTGAAATCGTTCCTTTTTGGTACCCATTTTTCCACACAATGTGTTAACTATTAGATAGTTGTGTACCGTGAAAGAAAGAAAATAAGAATTAGCACTTGCACACATCTGTGTGTATATATAGTCCCTTGAGTGTAGTGCATCGGATATGGGCATATGTTTATGTTTTAAGAAATATTATATTTAATTGAATGAGAATGTGCTGTCTAAACATAAAACAATGAGAATAGAGTTTTATAGATATTTCTCTAACTGTATGTGATGGAAAAAGGTCGCAAAAAATAACTATAAGAATAAAATAGACTTAAAATGTATGCGGATGCAAAACTGTAGTACCAAAAGCAATAGATTTGTAAAATGAAATATAAACTCTTTGAATAAGGTTAGACAATCCCCAGGAGCTATTTGAATAAATCTACATTCGCTCAGCCGACAATAAGGATTCTCATAGCTCAGATTTATTTTGACGATTAGTATTCACTCACACTGGACCAAAGAGGCCAGTTTACACTGGGTTCAATTTACACAAAAAGCACAAACTATTTAGTGATGTCTCCCTTGGTACTATACACAACAGTTTCTTGTACAATTCCATATAATACGTGCCTAATTAGGCCAAGCTGCATGGGTTTTCAACAGCCTCCTACTGCCCTAATTCATCTGTACTTCCTTATCATTTCTTTTTTGTGTTCTTTGTACATACTCATGTATTGAAGCACCTGAAACAAATCAATTTTGTTGAATTAAAGCATTACTTATCAGAAAAACGCTTGAGCCCCATCAGTAAGCTCCATTTGTCTAAACCAAAAACAGCAATTGTGGCCTGGGAATGTCTGGATGCAAATCTGCTCTTGAATTACTTAAGCTTTGTCCTCGAGTTTATTCTGGGCAGACGTGTCTATGGAGTCCAAATACAATAAGACAAAATTCTTACTGAACAAACTAAAAAAAAATAACCTATGAACAAAAGGTCATGGGTAGCTTTAGATAGGATAAAACATGTTCAGTTTGGGTGGTACAGATCTTAAGCATGATATAGTTTGGTTAAAGAAATGTTTGTAAGCAATATAACAAGTTCATTGCCCCCACACAGTGTGAAGCCACCAGAGCTACTTTCTGTTCTTCCACTTGTGGTCTTTCGAAGTTCACGCATGAAATTCCAAATTTGCAAGATTCTGTACTTGACTTGTGCTATATTTTTGCAGGACAGGCATATTTTGGCATCAACGGTGACACGGTTGATGGTGTACATGTTTGTTTTGATTTTTGGTCTGTTGATTTCGTGGCATGGTTAAGGTTTGTTTGTTCTTTTGGTTACATAATTTTGGTTTGTTATTGATGTACATGTACATAAAAGGTAGATTTGTTTGTTGTTTGCAATCCTATCTGCTTTAAACGAATTACACGTTTTTAAACGACATCTGGGGATGTAGGGTTAACTTCGTAATTCTGCATCCACTAGAATTGAGTTCCTCCTTTGTAACAGGAAAACTAGATCCTATTTTTACTTTCAGTAGCAGTAGAAACTATTCTGAAGACTTGGCAGAAGAAAATAGGGTACTTGGCAGAAGAACACATAGTTGATCAATACCATACTTCTCAGCAAATGTTGAATGCTTCACCAGATTATATATACTAATATGCATTGTCACAGTTACAGCCATTTCCATGTGTCCAAACACTATGTAATGATCCGAACAAATATGTACTATTACATCAAGTAAAGGAAGTTTTCACAGTTTTTGCTGATCATAAATAGCAATCGAGCAACACCACAGAATGGTCCTAACCACTAACAGTTTCAACCACAAAAGAGCAAATTACAAAGTGTGTGGTATGCAAAGACAAAGAGGAGACTAATCCTATCCTACTCCTCCTTTTTGGAGGTATGGATGGCAGTCACTGAGGAGACCATGGAATCAACACCGCACTTGTTCTTGTCATGAGGTCCCCTGCAGATCTTGTAGTACCCCTTCTCCCCCCAGTTCTCGCCCCACGAGTTCTTGATGATCCAGTACGGCTTCTCCTTGAAGCGGATCGGTGCGTATCCTGCCGATCCGTAGCCAACAAGGAGGACACCATGGTCAAGGTGCCTCCCACAGATGAAGGGGCACGACACGCCGCCGATGTATGTCTGCATGTAGGCCGCATTGATTGCAACTGCAAAAAACAAAAACATCAGCAATAGACAAACGGATGACAGCAATTTGTTCAAATTTTTGCAAATGTTTGAATCCTTTACTTGCAAGAGGGCCATGTTTGACGAGGTTGGCAGCAATTTGATCTTCGTTGACGGAGATCACACTGAAGTTCTTTACTTGGGCAACGATTTTGGACTTGTCGAACTTGCAGGTGTTTTCTCGTCCAGCGTACGGGTAATCTTTCTCGCTCTGTAGGCCACCGGATTTCATGAGGTAGCTGAAGGCTGTGGTCATCAAGCCACCGTTGCATCCTGAGTCGCATGCGCGCGATTCTGATGCATCACACTGCAAATTTTACAAGAGCATAGCATATATATTAGCTGCACCTTTTGATGAAATTAAAAATGGTAAAGATAACATGTGGATAAGGCTGTGTTCGGAAGGAGATGATGGGACTCTCCTTTGGGCAAGGAAAACAGGATTGCTTATTAGTATATAATTAATTAAGTATTAGCTAAAAAACTTGAAAATAAATTAATATGGTTTTTTTACAACAATTTTTCTATAGGAATTTTTGCAAAAATGTTTAATAATTCAGGAAGCATGCGTGCGGTAAATGAGAGAGTGGAGGTTGGGAACCTAAGAGGTAAGAATACAACCTTAAAATGTGAAGTCTACTACAAAATGTGTAAGACGCAATCGAATTTATTTGGGATAAATTTGGTTAAATAAAATAATTACTTCTCATCCAAAGCACCAAAAAACTTGCTTCAAGTGAGAAAGAACTGAGTCTCCAACTTGCTTTCACTCTACAGTTTCTGTCGCTCACCAACCAGGACAGAATAAACCAAGATAAGGACAACACAACAGCTAGTAAGTCATAACCAGGGTTGGAAATTTCGGTCATTTCGGACCCCCTCCGATACGATATTATTTCGGTCGAAATTTTCAAATATTTTCATGAATTTTAATAATATTTGTTCAAATTCAATTAAATTTTGTTCAAAATTTCGAAAATTTCGGACCGAAAAATTTCAGCATTTCAGTGGGCACCGATCAAATCGGCTAAACCGTTAGGTTTAACCCTGGTCACAACAAAGCAACCCACGGGAATATCCCTCTGCGTCATTCCTTCTATTCTATCTACTCGAATCAAAATTAAAATCAAACCGAGTTCCATTAACTCATAGTCAACGAGAGCTAGCAATTCGAGAAGAAGAAGAAGAAACTTAAGAGCTTGATGATGATATGCGAGGAGGAAGACGAAGACGAAGGAGAGGGACATACCTCGTGGTCGCAGTCGACCATCTGCTGCTCGCTGAGCACCTCCAGCTTCCCCGTGGCGAGGAAGTGCGCCCCCTCCAGCGCCCCCGACGTGCTGAACGACCAGCACGATCCGCACGAACCCTACACCCCCACCCCCCAAATCCACCAACCAATCATCATCAAACAACTCCAACGATTTCAAATTTTCAATCCATCCCAAATTAATCCGATGGTGTGATCCGATCCTAACCTGGTCCTTGACGGGGCCGACGGCGCCGTGCTCGCGCCAGTCGAAGTCGTCGGGGAGGCCGTCGGTGGGGAGGATGGGGGCCTCGTGCGGCTCCCCGCCGACGAGGCCCTCCAGGGATGGGCGGCGGAGGCCGAGGAAGCGGTCGCGGAACTCGCCCGGGGTGAGGTCGGAGAACTTGGTGACGCCGTGCGTCGCGGTGGGGTCCAGCCGCTGGTGCCGCCGCGCGCGGCGGAGGTTGGCGGCGAACACGGACATCCGGTACGCGCGCTCGCCGGCGTCCCGGTACGTCCGCCCGAACCGCCGCTCGAAGCTCGCGAAGTGCGCCTCCGCGTCCAGCTGCGCGTCCTCCTCCTCCCCGCCGCCGACCACCTGCTCGATGAGCGGGTCCTCCTCCCCCTCCGCCGCCGATGACGACAGCGCGGCGGCGGAGGAGAGGAGGAGGAGGAGGAGCGCCGCGGCGGCGGCGAGGCGGTGGCGGTGGCGCGCCATGGTTTGGTTTTTGATTGGTTGGTTTTTTTTTTTTGGGTGAGATTTCTTGTGTGGGTTTGGCTCCGTTGAATTGAGCGATTATTTATAGTGCATATGAGATCATGAGATGAGATGATTGGTTTGGTTGCTTTGTGATTAGGTTGGAATTGCTTGGGGGTAATGGCGATTAAGTATGATGAGTGCAGTGACAAACTGACAGGGATGTCCACGGCGACGATGACAGTGATCGGTAGCAGTGTGAATTCAGTCATCTCATTGTGTTTTCTCCATTTTTTTTAAAAAAAAAACATTTAGTCCTACTTTGAAAATAGCCATGTAAAAATCGTTTTAAAAGTAGTAAACCATTTTTACGGAGCGTCACATCAGTGTCAAACTGTCAATAGTGTACAAGGTTTACAAAATCGTTAAAGAGGAAGTCACCTTGCTCCCGAGTGGTTTTGTCCATAATCATGATTTTTGTTCGGTTAAAACCAATTAAATTTGGACAGTTTTTTTAAAATAGAAAAGGTAAATTTCCCTGTTAATGGTGTCTAGTTTACAATTGTTCAGTCCGAGTCTGACTGATTGCGTCATTTAACAAATATTCTATTCTCCTAATATATTGACGTGCAATCCTTTTGCGCGCTCGAGAAAAATTGTTCAGTCCGAGTCACTCTGCTCTCTAGCGGTTTTGTCGATAATTATGATTACCGCTCAGTTGCCCAACAAACAATTAAATTTGGACAATTTTATGAAAAAAAATAAATTTCAGTTTGATTTTTCTATATAGCCGGTTTATCGAGTGGTTTCTTAATTTGTACGGGCTCGATTATAATAACAATAATCAAGCGGTTAACGTCATACTCCCTCGGTCCCAATATATAGCAACTATCCTATACTAGGTTGTTATATATTAGGACGAAGTATTTATTAACACCCTATCCATCACCGTGTCACGGTTGTTTCCGACTGTGTATGCGTGACATACTAATGAAGAAAAAATTCACAGCTCACCTAAAGAAGCGACGGTAATATTTTTCTAGATTTTATATATGTTAAGACGTGTCATCTAGATAGCTTTAGTTTCCTGTAGAAACGAAATTATTCTTAGAGAGTTTCCTGTGTTTCAATCATAAAAAAAAAAGGAACATTTTGTGGTGCTCATGATTAATGTCACCATTTAGTTACTTCCTCCGTCCAGAAAAAACTCAACGTAAAAGGAAATATGACCGTTCAGATTCTTTTCTCCAACAAAAAGTTGAATGAAAATTTAGATATTCATAGTATGCTTTTCAAACTATCAAATATCAAATAAATATAATTTTCAAGTTTGTAATTATTAAAACTCAATTAATTATACATTAATATCACCTCATTTTACGTAAAACACTTAATTTTTATCTTTATCTATATGAATTTTAAACACCACCTCAATTGAGTATTTTTAGGAGAGAGGAAATACGTCTCAAATTTTGTGAGTGTACGTATAGCATTAGGTGGTTAGAACCGTGGAGCTGAGACTTGCACGTCAGGTTCCTAAAATTTGCACGTGACTGTTCAAATAGACGTTAAAAAGGCTTTTTGAGCAGTGACCATGTGGCACGTTGACCCAATTTAAGTTGGTATGTGATAGTATATGAAAACGTAGATCAATTATAAAAAATCATAATCATAGATGGTCTCAAATGGCAGTATTGTCGTAGGCTTTCTAGACCTTACATTATATTATATTTGAGGGATGAAGTGAATAATTCAAGTCATCAAACAAACATAATGAAACATCCAACGCCTCGAGAGAAGAATATTGGAGACATTGCTAGGCCTTTAGCCTGCCAGTCAACTTCAGCCTGAGATGTGCCCGTCAAACCACTCGAAGGCGGTGACCACATGTGTTACACATTCAGGAGACTTGACAAAAATGGCTAAAGATCTACATCATCTCAAATATTCTTAACTCATACTCATGTGAATCTAGTTCCCAGGATGTGCACTAGATTCACACTTTCATCTCAAGCATGATTATACATAGCAAACACAAATAAGATGAAAGCGATTATAAACTACATCTACTTTAGTTACATTGGCCGACCGGCCAAATAAATATATAGAACAGCGGAAGCTTGTCTACCCAATCCACAAGCACACAGACTAGGGGTTTACCCCATTAAGTTCAAGTCCTAGAAGAAGCAGTTGATTACCCGCATCACTCAAAGACTAAGTCTAAAACCTGCAAGCAAAAGATTAATTCAATAGCAAGAGTCAATACATGGCAAGCACCAAGACAAGCCTAACACCCTATTTGCAAGGCATATAATTGTGGAGATTATGGATATCCCATATCTACACGGCGAAGATATTTGGACTGAATATAGGATACCGAATATAGATAGAATATCTTATGTGTATCCTGGGTTTGTTTCCTAACTTGTACGTCAAGGAAACACCCTAAGATTTAGTCGGTCACGACTGTATTTGATCTGTATCTGTGTATTCTGTTAGGGATATAGATTATCTTTTGTAACCCGGACTCCTTCCCATATATAAGGGGGGTCCGGGCGCCTCTAGGGGCATATGTTGATTTTCCCCAAATCATACAATCAATAATACACTCGGCGGATTCATCCCCGGACAGGAGTAGGGTATTACTTCTTTTATAAGAAGGCCTGAACCTGTATAAATCCTTTGTCTCCAAACCCATACACTTTTCTAGCTTGATAGCCACCCCCTTTTATTATTGCCGAAATCTAGTTTTGACAGTTGGCGCGCCAGGTAGGGGTTGCGTCAAGCTTTTCGCCGATTAGTGCAATGGGTCCCGTCTCCGGCATCGACGACCCCGTCTTCCCACCCGGGCAGGCGTTTCGGTTCGGCAGCCTCGACTTCGTCACCAACAACTTCGGCAAGATTTCTCTCCTTGACTCGGAATCGGACCAGTCGGGAGAGAACCGGATCTCAGTCCCGTTTGGATTCCCAAACGCGGCTGAAAGCTACTTCAAGACCATCTCAATCGAGTCGGCTTCAAACCACTCGGCTGAGATCGCATCTTCTCCAACATCACCAGATCAAGATGATGGGGCTTACCCACCGATACTGATGAAACTCCCCGACGATTTGGCGGCCGTCTCCATCACGACAGCGTCTCCTTCCCGTAGGCCTAGGCGGAAGTCGGCTTCAACACCGATTTCGCCTAGCTTCAGAGAAGTTGGCGTCATCCTCCAACCACTCGGCTCGGTTTCGACGGATCAGCTGGATGACTACAACAGCTCTTCCACCGTCGACTCGCGTCCCACTGACATCGTGGAGTACGACGAGTTTAGCTCTCGCTACAACTACGCGGATCTCGACGACTTCGACGGAAGCCTAGATGACAATTACACCCCTCTCTACTTTGGCGTCTTCATGGCCAATAACGAGACGGAGGAGCAACGCCAAGCCCGGGAGACCGAAGAGCGCCGCCGACTGGAGGAGGAGCATCAAGCACAAGAACAAGAACGGTTACGGCGTGAGCAGCAGGAGAGTGAGCGGACCGCGAAGGAGGCTGAGGACCGACGGCAGCGAGCTTTGGAAGCAGGGCGCCGGGCGCGTGATCTCATCGGCCAGCAAGATGTTGAAGGGACGCCGGTTTTTCGCACCCCTCAACAGAATGCGGTTGCCGCGATCACCCTCCTCGACACCCTACTCAGGGAAAACGAGCTCAATCAATCTGATCACGTCGTCAACATCTTGAACCAGACGAAGACCATGATTGCAGCTTCGGTCCCAGTTAACTCCGAGAGCGTCCACACGCCGACTGGCAGCCGAGTCCCCCACTTCCGATCTCATGACTACCGTCATCCAAGCCTCAGCATCACCGGCACAGGATCCAATCGCAGGAGCAGGGGACACGACGAGCGGTCCGTTCACTCACCTCCCGATCATCATAGGGAGCGCCGAGTGGAACGGCCCCGCTCACCACCTCGTCGCCACCCCTTCGATCTTCGCGACACAATCATACAGCGCCGAGCAGCTCGAGGCTATCATCACTCGCCGGACCGCCACGACGACGACCTTGATGGAGTAGCAGCCTTCACCGACGACCTGCGTCGAGTGGATTGGCCAGCCGGCTTCAAGCCGACTGGAATAGAGAAGTACGATGGTACCACTAACCCAGAATCGTGGCTTACCGTCTATGGTCTCGCAATCCGCGCAGTAGGAGGAGACAGTAAGGCTATGGCGAACTATTTACCAGTGGCTTTAGAGGATTCCGCCCGATCTTGGCTCCATGGATTGCCCCGTGGTACGATTGGATCTTGGGCCGAGTTACGCGACCACTTCATCGCCAACTTCCAAGGCACCTTCGAGCGTCCCGGCACACAATACGACCTCTACAACGTCATTCAGAAGTCCGGGGAATCCCTTCGAGATTACATCCGGCGATTTTCTGAACAACGTAACAAGATCTCCGACATCACCGACGACGTCATCATCGCCGCATTCACCAAAGGGATTCGCCACGAAGAATTGGTCGGCAAGTTCGGGCGTAAGCCTCCCAGGACAGTCAAGCTCATGTTTGAAAAAGCCAACGAGTACGCCAAAGCTGAAGACGCCGTCATCGCATCAAAGCAGTCTGGTCCCAGTTGGAAGCCAAAAAAGGATACGCCGGCTACGGGAGGAGGTGGAAGTAACAATCATAAGGACCGCAAGCGTAAGCCTGCAGAACTTGTTGCAACCGCCAGTCACTCTTCTCGACAGCGTTCGCGCGTCAACACGTTCGACAAGATCATGAACTCCCAATGCCCGCACCATCCTAACTCCAACCACGTGGCCAAAGATTGTTTCATCTACAAGCAATTTGCGGATCAATACACCAAGACTACACGGAAGAACTCCGACGAAGAACAAAGCACGTCGAAGAAGAAAGACGACGGCGACGCCCCGGCAGGATTTCAAGACCACCGCACGGAGCTCAACCATATCTTCGGCGGCCCTCTGGCTTATGAGTCTAAAAGGAAGCAAAAGTTGACCGAACGGGAGATCAATGCTGTTCAGCCCGACACGCCCCAATATCTTCGATGGTCAGAGATCGCAATCAAGTTTGACCGCTTGGATCATCCTGACCGAGTGGTCCACCC